ATGAAATGCCTTTTAGCGGGCACACATGGAGCTGAATCCTGATACCTGTTTATCCCCTCATGACTCAAAGTGTGGCCTGGAGCCCATCAGTATCCTGTGGGAAGTGGTTAAAATGCAGAATCCCCGGCCCCACCCCAGACCTGCTGAGTTGGAATCTGAGCTGAACAGTATTTGCAGGTGTTTCCAGACCTGCTGAGTTGGAATCTGAGCTGAACAGTATTTGCAGGTGTTTCGGACGCTCACTGAATTTTGAGAAGTTCTGGTGTCCGTAGAAGTGGTTTAGGGTTTGTTTGTTTCATTTTGTCTTTGAGGATGGGTGTACTGCATATTGGATCATTTTCAACTTGGGAAAATGAGACTGTAAAAGAATCATGACCACAAATACCAGGCTTCTAAGAACACTTTTAAGGCTCCCTTTGCATTGGCAGAAGCTCTTAAAGTGAATGTGAGGGTACCTCTTTCTATTTTCCTACCTTAATTTTGACTTATCCTGCATTGAAATATAAATAGTGTTTCCCTGAAGTTTTTTTATGGGTACACAAGTGTTTGCACACACACACACACTCACACACATTTTAGCTACCAAAACATATAAAACTACTGATCAGAAATCAGGAGAAAATGAAAGCACCATAGTGATTAAGAGTAAGGAAACTTCCCCTTTAATCAATCAATCAGTTAACGAATTAACAATTCATTAATAAAAATAGCATCTTCTCTTATTTTAGTTCTTTTTACTTGTATTTTGGCTATCAGATTTATGCTAGTTCATTAAAGTTGAAAACTGTTCTTTACTTAAATTGTATGTTTTACTCTGTGGACAGCAGTTTTCCTTTTCTTTCCTGGGTTTGCCCCCTTCAGACTGCGTCTGGGGACAGACTCCTTTCAGGGCTCTGTTCAGAGGGAGCTGGTGCCCAGGAAGGGAGGGCACTGACGTTCACATTTCTCTTTGGCTTGCGGATTCCAAGGTAATTCATTGCTGACAGAGAAACAAACAAAACAGAGCCAGGAATGCCGAGGCCAGGTTCTCTGTGCCACCTGGATCTTCAGGGAAAGGATGGGTGGGTTTCCTTACAGTCGTGTCTTTGCTCACAGACGGTGACCCTGGAACAAGCGATCAAAGATGCTCACGAGTGTTACGATGACGAGATTCAGCTCTATAATGAGCAGATCGAAACCCTGCGGAAGGAGGTTGAAGAGACCGAGAGGAGCCTGGAGAAGTCCTCCTATGATTGCCAGCAGCTGGTGGTCGCCCAGCAAACCCTGAAGAACGAGCTGGACCGGTATCATCGGATCATTGAGAGTGAAGGCATCAGGTGTGCTCACAGATGGGCGCGGTTGCTCCCCGCTCCATTCTGTCCACTTACTGGTTTGCAGGTCTGAGCTGAGTACTTCCTGTGAGCCAGGCACAGTTCCAGGCCAGGGAATGAACAAATTCATGACGTTGCTGAACCTGAAGACTAGCTGGGGAGACAGATGCTGAGTAAATGTGTAACAGAGGGAGTGTGGCATATGGCAAGTGCCAGTAAATTATGTGAGGGATTTGTGGCGTGGCCATTGGGAGTGGGTGGGAATGTTTGAACCGTAAGTAGGGTGGTCAGAGAAGGCCTCCCAGAGAAGGATACTTCTGCTCCTCGGGCCTCTGGGGACATGAGTGTCTTAGCAGATGGGATGACCAGGAGTGTTTAATGAGATGCTGCAGGTGAGGTGCCCAGCACAGTACCTGGTACTTGACAAGTGCTCAGAGGTCTTGGGGTTGTGACTCCTGCTGCCATCATGATTTCTACCACCTGCTTGGCTCAGTAATGTGGTCATTATGCTGTCTGGTCTAGTTCATATTAGAACTGTGACTTGAGTTCTACTCATTCAAGAGAGCTGGGAAATACCTATCTCTGTCACCTCTATCATCTCAATCTCTCTCTGTCTCTACCTCTATTTCTACATCATCTATACCTCCACCTCTGCCTACAATCTACACCATCTATGTCTCCATCGACATCCTCTGTGTCTATACCTCCATCTACACTTACATCTGCATCTATAGTTACATCATCCACGTGTGTACATGTGCCCTGCATCTACATTGTTACATCATCTATATCCACATCTACATCTACATTATCTACAGCTTCAACCACACCTCCATCTACCTTATCTATATCCACATTTCCATCCACACCTACATCATCTCCGTCTACTCCTTCACTAACATCTCCATTGTCTACATCCTCATCTCCATCTCCAGCTACACCTACATCCTCTCCATCTGTACCTGCACTGCACTCACATCTACTTTATGTACATTCTCTTTTCCATCTCCAGCTATACCCACATCACCTACAGCTGCACTTACACCTATACTTACATCCACAGATATATCATCTCCACCTCCACCTCCATCTGCATTATCTATACCCACTTCTCATCTACATCTGCATCATTTATATGTACACATTTACCTCCACTTACATCATCTATATTTACATCTTTGCCTAAACTTTACTTAAATCATCTTTGCATATATGTACATCTATGCCTACATCACCTACATGTACACCTACATCATGTCATGTCTGTGTACATCTGTACTTGCATGTACACTATTTATATCTACATCATCCATGTCTATATCAATGTCCATAACCATATCTATATTTATCACCCAGAGAACAGACTGGGGACAGCCACCTCATATTAGGATGCTGATTGTCTACTAAGTTGTGATTCTTTGATTAAATCTCACTGATTTTGGGGGGTTAGATTGAATTAAAAAAGAAGCACCCAGAAGCTTCCCACAAGGAATACTTTTTTCCTTTCCTTCTGGGTGCTCTGTCTTGGCTGCAAGTGCACAAATGTTTACCAGGAAAAGCAATATTTTCTTTTTCATCCTCTGTTTACAGTGTATTTATGCATAATCTCAAATTATATTTATGTCACAGTGGATGCTTTATGCACACTTTTATGAAAATAAATCTTGAATTGTCACTTAAATGTCCTTGAAAATTTTTGTTTTACAGTCAGGTTACAAAAAGGTAACTAGATACCCCTTTTGTTGATTTGTTTATAACTTCTAATTATGGTATAATTTTAAATTGACAGAAATCTTGCAAGCATAGAACAAGGACCTCCTAAATACTCAGACCCAGTAGTTGTTCATATTTTGTCTCTAAGTCTCTAAGTGTTTTATCTCTTTTTCTTTAGTCATATGCAATGCATATCATTTTTAAAAAACAAGTTAGAGATATTATACCCATTTGCTCTAAATACTTCAGCCTGGGCCAGCCTTTTATTAAAACAAACAAACAAATAAAAAACTTTGCTCATCAGAGAAGTGGCATTTTTAGGTGATAAACAGTCCTTACTTTATAATTTTTCCTTAAGTGTGTCTTGCAGTTTATGATGCAGTTTATGATTTGAGCTCAAAGAATGATTATTTCCTTTACTTCCTCAATGGGTATATGTATATGTTGATGTAGAGAAAGCTTTTTCATTTTTGTTCACATTGGAGAAGTCACTCTTACCTGCCCCAACTATCTGTTTGACTTGATGGCTTAAAGATGGCAAGAACCCTCTTTCTGTTTCCCCCTGCCAGACTGAACTCCACCTTCACTGAAACCCCTATTACTCTGTTCACCTCGGGCCATGGAGCCTCTCTCAGCCCTCGACCTGGCAGGAAAGGTAATGTTCCAACCCTGGCTTCAACTATTTTCTCTCCTGTAAACAAAGGAAAATAACTGAGTGGTTTTCTTCCTGAACTCAACATTCCCATTCCCTCCCGACCCATGCAGAAATTAAAGGCTTTTATGTGAGGTCTCCTCCTCTGCCTCACTGATGTACTACCACAGGTGCTGAGTGAGAGAGCCAGAAAGTTTACAAGGAGACACATCCAGCTAGGGGGACAGACCACCTTGAGAATGCTGTCCTCGAACATGGAGCATGTAGCTAGGGAAAAATATGACAATATTCTTCATCAAGAAACACCTGCATCACCTATGTTTAACCTACCTCGTGTACACTCATATCAAGAAGTGACTATTGAATTGTATTTTCTCCCCCAGTGAAGTGAAATAGTCCACACAAAGCTGCTTAATCCAGTGTCTGGAGCAGGGTAGATGCTCAGTTATTGTTTTCTCTTCTGTTCAAACCTGAGCCGAAGTAGCTTGGTTGACACATGTGCTTCTGTGGTCCCTTGGGATGGTTTCATGCACCTGTGAGATGTTACCCCCCTGCTACATCTCCCTAGTCCTGAACACACGGTATTTTGGGACAAGGGAAGGTGGTCGTGTTGATTGCCTATAATTACAGCATTCTGAAATCCATGTTTCTCAGACAGCTGGCAGTCCTGCTGCCAGACATCAGGGCTGGCTCCAGGAGTGTGCCGCTGTACACAGGCCCGGCACTCACCAGGGGCCCCATGCTTCGCTTAATGCTCTCCTGTCAGTGTCTTGAGATTCCTAGTAATTTTGAGTAGGGGGCTCTGCCTTTTCCTCTTGGCATGGGCTCTGGGGTTCTGTAGCAGTTCCTGTGAACTCCCTCCTCCTGCAGCTTTCTGTGGTATGGCCCTCTCTGCAGCTTCTCTGCCCTTCTGGCATCATGGCCCATTGCTGTCATGGCCCACTCTTGCTCACCCAGCTTCATTGTCACAAGGCAACCCACACTGGATGGCCTTGCTTTGTCCATCTTAGTCCTCTGGTTCATGGAGGGAGGGGATGGAGAAGACTTTGGGATGAAGAAGTTTAAAAATGACTATGTGAGTGAATTTGAAAAGCCTCATGGATGAGGCAAGGTGAGATTTTGTGTTTTTTTATACTTAGTTTTTCCTTTTAGCAAGTGAAGAAAAGCACATGGCCTTGGGAGCAGGGAATTCCTGTTATTTCTGAGTTTAATAGCACCGCTTACTCTTTTTGCTCAAGAGGAAGTGGATGCTGATCAAGGGATGGTCATATTTATTTAGCTTGGGGTCTACGAGGAACAAGGGAGCTGCACGGTAGATTGGCTGGACTTCTGGCCTGAAGCCAGTGCAAACACACCAGAGGCCCAGGCTGCTCTGCCATTTCTCTTGGGGGTGAGAATGACTTCGTAGAATGGGTTTCCATGGTCTTGTCTATAGATTCAAGTGTTGTGAGCTCAGCAGGGGGCTGGGTGGCGCAGGACCCCCTGTCCCCACTGAGTGCTACTGCAGTATAATCACTTGTCTCAGTGAGTTGTACCCAGTGTGAGGGGAGCTGTGAGCCACAGAACAAGCATGGCCTTTCCTCCCAGTGAAAGCCCAGAGGGGTCAAGTGACTTGTCCAAAGTTGCACAGCAGTTTGGTCCAAAGTTGCACAGCTGGTTGGCAGAGCTAGGACTTAATATGGCCATGGTTGCTACAGATCCAGGCCTCTTTTTCTACTGCTTTTGCTCATATATAATAAATCCTACCCCAGTGTTAGGCATTGGTCTCTGAGACACCATATTTTTCAACAAATACATTTTCTTCCCCTTTCTTTGATTTTTTTAGATCTTGCCAGGGCTCTGCAGGATATAACCACAGCAAAGCCAAGACAAAAAGGCCTCCCCAAGAATATTACAAGAAAAAAGGAGATTATAGCAACAGACAAAGCAGATGAAAGTCTGGAAGATACACCACAGAAGGGTCCAGAAGACATAAAACTGGTGCAGGTGATACTTGAAGAATCTAAACTTGAATCAGGAGGTGAAGAAGCAAGCCCCCCAACCCCAGAAGAGGCCCCAGAGGATGTACCTGATGGAGGGCAGATAAGCAAAGCCTTTGGGAAATTGTGCAAGAAGGTCAAGGAGAAGATGAGAAGCCCCAAAGAACCTGAGCCCCCGGCTGACCTCTACACCAAAGGACGGCACGTGCTGGTCTCCGGGGATGCCAGTCATGTGGACCCTGGGTTCTGTTCCTCCTCCATCCCGGCCAAAGGAATGGTGGTCGTGTCCATTGAGGATGACTCTCTGCATCGTGACAGCCCCGTGGAGCCCTCTCCTGAGCAGCCTGAGCCCCCTCTGGAGAATGGAGAGGGGGATCCCCAGGGGAGGGAAGATGGACACCCACCCGACCAGCATAGTGCAGACAAGGAGAACAAGGATTACGGGGAACTGGAAGGCCCTGGGGAGAAGCCAGTAAGTAGGGTGGTCAGAGAAGGCCTCCCAGAGAAGGATACTTCTGCTCCTCGGGCCTCTGGGGACATGAGTGTCTTAGCAGATGGGATGACCAGGAGTGTTTAATGAGATGCTGCAGGTGAGGTGCCCAGCACAGTACCTGGTACTTGACAAGTGCTCAGAGGTCTTGGGGTTGTGACTCCTGCTGCCATCATGATTTCTACCACCTGCTTGGCTCAGTAATGTGGTCATTATGCTGTCTGGTCTAGTTCATATTAGAACTGTGACTTGAGTTCTACTCATTCAAGAGAGCTGGGAAATACCTATCTCTGTCACCTCTATCATCTCAATCTCTCTCTGTCTCTACCTCTATTTCTACATCATCTATACCTCCACCTCTGCCTACAATCTACACCATCTATGTCTCCATCGACATCCTCTGTGTCTATACCTCCATCTACACTTACATCTGCATCTATAGTTACATCATCCACGTGTGTACATGTGCCCTGCATCTACATTGTTACATCATCTATATCCACATCTACATCTACATTATCTACAGCTTCAACCACACCTCCATCTACCTTATCTATATCCACATTTCCATCCACACCTACATCATCTCCGTCTACTCCTTCACTAACATCTCCATTGTCTACATCCTCATCTCCATCTCCAGCTACACCTACATCCTCTCCATCTGTACCTGCACTGCACTCACATCTACTTTATGTACATTCTCTTTTCCATCTCCAGCTATACCCACATCACCTACAGCTGCACTTACACCTATACTTACATCCACAGATATATCATCTCCACCTCCACCTCCATCTGCATTATCTATACCCACTTCTCATCTACATCTGCATCATTTATATGTACACATTTACCTCCACTTACATCATCTATATTTACATCTTTGCCTAAACTTTACTTAAATCATCTTTGCATATATGTACATCTATGCCTACATCACCTACATGTACACCTACATCATGTCATGTCTGTGTACATCTGTACTTGCATGTACACTATTTATATCTACATCATCCATGTCTATATCAATGTCCATAACCATATCTATATTTATCACCCAGAGAACAGACTGGGGACAGCCACCTCATATTAGGATGCTGATTGTCTACTAAGTTGTGATTCTTTGATTAAATCTCACTGATTTTGGGGGGTTAGATTGAATTAAAAAAGAAGCACCCAGAAGCTTCCCACAAGGAATACTTTTTTCCTTTCCTTCTGGGTGCTCTGTCTTGGCTGCAAGTGCACAAATGTTTACCAGGAAAAGCAATATTTTCTTTTTCATCCTCTGTTTACAGTGTATTTATGCATAATCTCAAATTATATTTATGTCACAGTGGATGCTTTATGCACACTTTTATGAAAATAAATCTTGAATTGTCACTTAAATGTCCTTGAAAATTTTTGTTTTACAGTCAGGTTACAAAAAGGTAACTAGATACCCCTTTTGTTGATTTGTTTATAACTTCTAATTATGGTATAATTTTAAATTGACAGAAATCTTGCAAGCATAGAACAAGGACCTCCTAAATACTCAGACCCAGTAGTTGTTCATATTTTGTCTCTAAGTCTCTAAGTGTTTTATCTCTTTTTCTTTAGTCATATGCAATGCATATCATTTTTAAAAAACAAGTTAGAGATATTATACCCATTTGCTCTAAATACTTCAGCCTGGGCCAGCCTTTTATTAAAACAAACAAACAAATAAAAAACTTTGCTCATCAGAGAAGTGGCATTTTTAGGTGATAAACAGTCCTTACTTTATAATTTTTCCTTAAGTGTGTCTTGCAGTTTATGATGCAGTTTATGATTTGAGCTCAAAGAATGATTATTTCCTTTACTTCCTCAATGGGTATATGTATATGTTGATGTAGAGAAAGCTTTTTCATTTTTGTTCACATTGGAGAAGTCACTCTTACCTGCCCCAACTATCTGTTTGACTTGATGGCTTAAAGATGGCAAGAACCCTCTTTCTGTTTCCCCCTGCCAGACTGAACTCCACCTTCACTGAAACCCCTATTACTCTGTTCACCTCGGGCCATGGAGCCTCTCTCAGCCCTCGACCTGGCAGGAAAGGTAATGTTCCAACCCTGGCTTCAACTATTTTCTCTCCTGTAAACAAAGGAAAATAACTGAGTGGTTTTCTTCCTGAACTCAACATTCCCATTCCCTCCCGACCCATGCAGAAATTAAAGGCTTTTATGTGAGGTCTCCTCCTCTGCCTCACTGATGTACTACCACAGGTGCTGAGTGAGAGAGCCAGAAAGTTTACAAGGAGACACATCCAGCTAGGGGGACAGACCACCTTGAGAATGCTGTCCTCGAACATGGAGCATGTAGCTAGGGAAAAATATGACAATATTCTTCATCAAGAAACACCTGCATCACCTATGTTTAACCTACCTCGTGTACACTCATATCAAGAAGTGACTATTGAATTGTATTTTCTCCCCCAGTGAAGTGAAATAGTCCACACAAAGCTGCTTAATCCAGTGTCTGGAGCAGGGTAGATGCTCAGTTATTGTTTTCTCTTCTGTTCAAACCTGAGCCGAAGTAGCTTGGTTGACACATGTGCTTCTGTGGTCCCTTGGGATGGTTTCATGCACCTGTGAGATGTTACCCCCCTGCTACATCTCCCTAGTCCTGAACACACGGTATTTTGGGACAAGGGAAGGTGGTCGTGTTGATTGCCTATAATTACAGCATTCTGAAATCCATGTTTCTCAGACAGCTGGCAGTCCTGCTGCCAGACATCAGGGCTGGCTCCAGGAGTGTGCCGCTGTACACAGGCCCGGCACTCACCAGGGGCCCCATGCTTCGCTTAATGCTCTCCTGTCAGTGTCTTGAGATTCCTAGTAATTTTGAGTAGGGGGCTCTGCCTTTTCCTCTTGGCATGGGCTCTGGGGTTCTGTAGCAGTTCCTGTGAACTCCCTCCTCCTGCAGCTTTCTGTGGTATGGCCCTCTCTGCAGCTTCTCTGCCCTTCTGGCATCATGGCCCATTGCTGTCATGGCCCACTCTTGCTCACCCAGCTTCATTGTCACAAGGCAACCCACACTGGATGGCCTTGCTTTGTCCATCTTAGTCCTCTGGTTCATGGAGGGAGGGGATGGAGAAGACTTTGGGATGAAGAAGTTTAAAAATGACTATGTGAGTGAATTTGAAAAGCCTCATGGATGAGGCAAGGTGAGATTTTGTGTTTTTTTATACTTAGTTTTTCCTTTTAGCAAGTGAAGAAAAGCACATGGCCTTGGGAGCAGGGAATTCCTGTTATTTCTGAGTTTAATAGCACCGCTTACTCTTTTTGCTCAAGAGGAAGTGGATGCTGATCAAGGGATGGTCATATTTATTTAGCTTGGGGTCTACGAGGAACAAGGGAGCTGCACGGTAGATTGGCTGGACTTCTGGCCTGAAGCCAGTGCAAACACACCAGAGGCCCAGGCTGCTCTGCCATTTCTCTTGGGGGTGAGAATGACTTCGTAGAATGGGTTTCCATGGTCTTGTCTATAGATTCAAGTGTTGTGAGCTCAGCAGGGGGCTGGGTGGCGCAGGACCCCCTGTCCCCACTGAGTGCTACTGCAGTATAATCACTTGTCTCAGTGAGTTGTACCCAGTGTGAGGGGAGCTGTGAGCCACAGAACAAGCATGGCCTTTCCTCCCAGTGAAAGCCCAGAGGGGTCAAGTGACTTGTCCAAAGTTGCACAGCAGTTTGGTCCAAAGTTGCACAGCTGGTTGGCAGAGCTAGGACTTAATATGGCCATGGTTGCTACAGATCCAGGCCTCTTTTTCTACTGCTTTTGCTCATATATAATAAATCCTACCCCAGTGTTAGGCATTGGTCTCTGAGACACCATATTTTTCAACAAATACATTTTCTTCCCCTTTCTTTGATTTTTTTAGATCTTGCCAGGGCTCTGCAGGATATAACCACAGCAAAGCCAAGACAAAAAGGCCTCCCCAAGAATATTACAAGAAAAAAGGAGATTATAGCAACAGACAAAGCAGATGAAAGTCTGGAAGATACACCACAGAAGGGTCCAGAAGACATAAAACTGGTGCAGGTGATACTTGAAGAATCTAAACTTGAATCAGGAGGTGAAGAAGCAAGCCCCCCAACCCCAGAAGAGGCCCCAGAGGATGTACCTGATGGAGGGCAGATAAGCAAAGCCTTTGGGAAATTGTGCAAGAAGGTCAAGGAGAAGATGAGAAGCCCCAAAGAACCTGAGCCCCCGGCTGACCTCTACACCAAAGGACGGCACGTGCTGGTCTCCGGGGATGCCAGTCATGTGGACCCTGGGTTCTGTTCCTCCTCCATCCCGGCCAAAGGAATGGTGGTCGTGTCCATTGAGGATGACTCTCTGCATCGTGACAGCCCCGTGGAGCCCTCTCCTGAGCAGCCTGAGCCCCCTCTGGAGAATGGAGAGGGGGATCCCCAGGGGAGGGAAGATGGACACCCACCCGACCAGCATAGTGCAGACAAGGAGAACAAGGATTACGGGGAACTGGAAGGCCCTGGGGAGAAGCCTGATGCCCCGGAGGAGGATGAGGGGCCCTGGAGCCCCTGTCCCATGGCCACACCTGGCCCAGAGGGGCCATCTGCACCCCAGTCTAGAAGGCCAGTGGTCACTCACAGTGGATCTGAGGGGCACTGTGCCGGGAGCAGCAGCTGGCTAGCAAGAAGCCCTCCCAAGACTTCGGCATATGAGACGGTGGAAGTGATGGAATCCATTGAGAAGTTTTCAGCTGAGAGCATTCAGATGTATGAAGAAACTGCTGTGATGGTCGAGACCGTGATGGGGAGGGCCAAGGCAAACAAGAGAGAATTGGAAGAGGGCTCTCAAAGTGCCTAGGCTCCATGGGAAAAAATGTCTTTGGGGTCATGTAGGGGAAGTGCTTTGATATTTTAGAACAAGTGATGAAAGAGTGAGGGTCCCTGTTTGGATTAGCCCATAGCTGGCCCATCTGGCATTGCTGATGAAGCCTTCATTAAAAAGTTTTCCTTCCTTGCACATGCTTTGTCTGATTAACAGGGCCTTGGGGATGTCCGTGGGTCAGCCTCACTCAGGACAGGGATGCTTTGTTAAACCGCCATCAAACCGTGCCATTAGACCCTCCATCACGGCTCATTGAGGGACTCATTAGAAGCTCAGAGAGGGTCTGCATAACACACGGAATCAGGCTTGTTGATGGCATTGGCTCATTTTCATTGCATTCCCAGTACAAGCACACGCTCACATGAAGGAGCGTTTTGTTAGAGGTAAAATGGTGAAAGGGATCTCTCAGTTTGGGTTTCCTCTGAAGCTGATGCTGAGGTAAGGATTTGAATGTAGTTTCTTGGGGGGTGTGATCCCAAGGCATGCAGAGGGCGACAGGGATGGCAAGGCAGCCAGGAAGGGGTGTGTTACCAGAGAAGTTCGCACTGCGGTCAGTTGGAGTGAGTCGGGCACTGGAGAGGGAGTAGAACACAGGCCTCAGAGTTACCCTGCTGGAAGGGCAGGGGAGCTGGGCTGTGCATTTACCAACCCCTGGCAGCGAGGAGGCAGGGCAGGGGAAGGGGCAGGGCTGGTCCTAGGACATTCTCTGTAGAGGCTGAGAAAGCCCTCAAGCAAACACATACAGGTGCAGGTGTTTGGACATCAGGCTGTGGAAATGGTAAAGGTCATGGGGATCAAAATATGTGGAAATGGTGAAGGTCGTGAGGATCTGCTATAGCATGGGTACTGAATGCCCTTTTGTCTGACTTACTGTGTTTCATACCAACTCCTTTAGTTTCCTGGACCCAATTCCAACTTGTGTGTCTGTGGGAGTCTTCCCACACATGACACCAAGCAATTCTGGAACACCAGCAGGGTGTCTAAGAACTTAGCTCAATTCTGAGGCTATCTGCCTAGAGGCAGCTCCAGATTCCAGAGTTTAAAGGCTCCATCCTACAAGATTTCCCTCCACCCATCACTCCAAATGCCAGTCCCAAGCCCACGGCTGTCACTTGTGCTTCTGACTGACCAGCTATAGGCTGGAGGTTCCAGTGACCTCCCCTTAGGTTCGATTTAATTTGCTGGAGTGGCTCACAGAACTCAGGAAACTTATGTTTACCAGTTTAATGAAGGATACCATGAAGGATTCAAGTCAACAGGCAGATGAAGGGAGACAGGGCAGGGTCCCAAATAAAGGAGCTTCTATCCTTGTGGAGCTTGGGGCCTGGCTCCGTGGCATATGGAGGTGCTCTGGTTCCCCAATCATGTAAGCTCTCTGACAGAAGCAGGATGCAGAAAGAAAGAGAGATGCTTTTCTTATGGGGTTTTGTGGGGGCTTCATTACATAGTCATGATTGACTAAATCATTGGCCACTGGCTGATTCAACCTCCAGCCCCTGCCCTTGGGTGGGGTCCAAAAGTCTTTCTACATGCTAAGACACCCATTTCAGCTTTAAGACTCTGAAGTGTTTTCAGGAACTGTGGCTGAAGACCAAATATACCTGGGAAATATATATTTGGTCAT